AAAAGTTTATTCCAAACGTTCAGAATGAATAAAGAAATTCAGCCACTATCTCAACGCTCGGAGCGCTGCCACTGAGGAGGGAGAAAATTTTTAAGAACCAAACAAAAATTTTTACATTTCTTTTTGTGAATACGAATGCCATAGTTTTTACCTAGCTCGTGGGACTACGCAAAATTTTGACAGCTTGTAAAGAGTCAAAGTCAAAATGGAGAAAAGAACAAAAAGCATATGTTAGTTGTCAGTTACAAAATACATCCAATTTATTTGCGAATATTTGTTTCTCCTTTTTATTGAAAGGTAACCACGCCGAAAAGCTTGTGTTAATTATATTGATAACAGAACCTGGCAGCTCGCACGTTGTCTAAATTCTCAAGTAACATAAAATCCACAAAAAAATACATTGCTTCTATTACCATCAATACGCCATGTACAAATTTTAACAACACACAAAAAAAGAGCTTTCGCACGAGCGTTTGTTTGGTTTTTCAACACCATTTATAATTTTCTTTTTTATTAAAAATCACGATTTGTCAAATGCTTAAATTTATTTATCTAATAATAATACAGCACACAACCCTGAAATCTAAGAAAAAGTCTAAGGTACGGCTTTAAGCTTAGTATCCAGCTCTTAAAAAAACGGTCAAGAAAAAATTGCCATTATTTCGCGTGTGTGTCCAAGGAATTTTGACATTTTTTATACCTCACAGCCTGTTGCCTCACTCTTTCCTCAAGAAATAATGGAACGGGCATATATTTCTGCTGCAAACCTGAGTTGCCTTGTGCTCTTTTTTCACAAAAAACTTTAGAAAACCGTAGTAGAAAGCGTACTAAATTTCTGAAGAACTGCGTACTGCCTTAAGGAAATTTGACTCAAGAAAATTTCTTAGCCATTTCTTGTACGTTATTTTATATGGAGTTTTTGCTTTTCTTGAGAGCTGCATACAGGCCTTATACTGTGATTTTATGAACGCGCCAGCGACATCATGAATTTGTATGAGTTTGACATAAAAGAAGAGGAAGAACCTTATCTGCCGCTGGCTAAATAAATATAGATCTAAGCTGGCCACAACCGCAGTCGTCGCGTAGCTCGGTCGTCGCCAAAATAATTATCTACATAAGAATACGCATAGTTGCCAACTTGGTGCTTTAAGCACTAGATTTAGTGCTTTTTGAAAATTAAAACACCAAAAAATATTATTTAGTGTGTAGTGCCTTTTTAGTGTTTTTTTTTCTGAACTAAAATTTCTCCGATATAGTTAAAACCTACCATTTGGTGCTTTTAGTGTGGTAAAAAGCTTTTTTTTCCAAGTTTTTGGTGCTTTTTGAAAATCAAAGTTGGCAACACTGAGAATACGTGTTAAATTAATTTGACAGCTGTGGTGTAGCTCGTCGTTTTCATTGTGTTCGGGCTATAATTGTACAAATTGCTCGTTTAACGAACAGGCCTAATGCCGCAACTAAGTAAATGTCAAAATAAAAGTGATTAAAAATATAAAAAGTTGTGTTTTTAGCTTTGGGTTCAAGTTTTGATTTTAATTCTTGTTTGTGGGCTCACACAAACATAAAACCAGGTATTTATTGCATTTAAGGTTTTGGTTTTAAATCCTTTAATAAATTGTTTCAGATATGTCTGACGAAAACCTTATGGAAAACGGAAAAGAGGGTGTCGTTGCAAAAACTTCTGATACCTCTGCTATTTCGGCATCAAAAAGTCCATCAATAGGACCTTCTATCCAGTCAGAGATTATTGAAGAACCTCTACCTTCCATAGAAGACGTTGTTCTCATTGATCCTGAATGCTTAGAATTGGACCTAAACCATCACCGGATTGACAAACTAGAAAATTTTGAGCCATTGGTATGCATTGAGCGTCTTTACCTGCGCTGGAATCTTATAAAGAAAATTGAAAATCTATCCACGCTGACAACGCTTCAGGAACTTGAACTATACGATAATCAAATTACAAAAATAGAAAACCTGGATACACTTGTTAATTTGGAGCAGTTAGATTTTAGTTTTAATCGCTTAACTAAAATAGAAAATTTAGACAAACTAGGTAAACTAGAAAAACTATTCTTATGTGCGAACAAGATCCATGCTATAGAAAACTTGGGTATGCTCACTAATTTGACGATGCTAGAATTGGGGGACAACAAAATTCGTAAAATCCAAAACATTGAAATGCTTACCAATCTTCGTCAACTCTATCTTGGAAAAAATAAGATTACAAAAATTGAAAATTTGGATACTTTAGTCAATTTGGAGTGTCTAAGTTTGCAGGCGAACCGCATAGTCAAAATAGAAAACTTGGATAAATTAGTTAATTTAACTGAACTTTATATATCGGAGAATGGCATCGAAATAATTGAGAATTTGAATGAGAATAAACAGCTTGATACGTTGGATATTGCCAAAAATAGGTTGAAATCAATAGACAACATTGAGCACTTGAAAGAATTGGAAGAACTCTGGCTAAATGACAATGGGGTCTCAGATTGGCAAAATATTGAAGTTTTAAAAGAAAACACAAAACTTAAAACTGTTTATTTAGAACACAATCCAGTAGCATCAGACAAGATGTATCGTTTCAAGTTGCGCTCGATTGTACCATGGTTGGAAAAGATAGACGCCACTTTGTGTCGATAAAATTGGACTTACAACAAATAAAGGGAATAAAATTGGTTTGTTTCAAGACTGTCATAACCGAAATCCCGTTGTTACATATTTTAACTTATAATAGTCTACCAAGTAGTTTTTAATACTCTTAAAATATTAGTTGGAACCCATGTCCACCAGGCGCTGGAACTTGTAAGCTGTACTTTTCTCAGTTTCGGACGATTAATTTATGACAGTGTTGCATCAAACAAGAGCTCTCCAGCTTTCTTAATGAGGTCTTTATGCAGAAAGCGAATTATTTATAATTTCCTAAAATCAGGGCTATCACAGAATCCATCGTCGTCCTATTTTTCGTTGAAATCTACGAAAATGCTGTCGCTGAATCCGAATAGCTACGAACGTAACGTATACTTTAAACACACACGTTCGTAACAATTCGGATTCAGTGATCGCATTATCGTAGATTTTACGAAAAATCCGAATACGATGAATTCTGTGATAGCCCCCAATGTATAAATTGATTTCGCTCATTTAAAATAATGAAAACGAAAGTAAAACATTGGTATATTGATATGCATTCATTTGTGTCACCGTAAGGAACACACATGAATAACTAGGTTTATAATATCGTAAATAATTGACTGTAAAACAACTAATTATTTGTAAAGCTATATTTAACATAATAAAAAGCATTTTACCATTTACAATTAAAATGATTCACTAATACCTTTTACAAGAACAAAGCTTAGGCCTGGCCGGGTAATTTACGATGCAATTATCTTGCACCCTCAAGCTCGTAACTTATTCTTATTTACCATCTTTCTTAAGCAGTTTAAATTTTTAATATCAACCCGATTCGAAATACTCCTTTTAGCTTCTAGCAGATTTTACTTTTCTAGAGCAAACATTCTGCAATTCTAAATCTCAGGGAAACATTTCCCTAAAAACCAGGAGCAGATTATTCGAAATTTTCCACTCTTATGCTTGATATATGTAAATGACGTCAAGCCCCGGGCAGTTGCGTCGATTATTTTAAAGTACAATTCACCTGTTTTACATTACATTGCTTTATATTTTTGGACTATCTTTGGTCTAGATACAAAGCTACTATACCTACGAC